CCAATTATATTTCGTTCGACGCAAAAGAGCAAACTGTCAGCGATAGGTTCTCAGCCAGACAGTACCGAAACCATCGATGAGTTGTGTTGGTGCCATCGTCAATATGGCGGCAAAGCTAGAGGTATTTTTGTTCGTCGCAATCAGCCGACAATTCAGGTATCTCGACCAGCTATCCGGAAAAGCACCAGACGGCCGTTTCGCCCTATTGGGGCTCATAAGTGGTGCGCATCCGTCGGTCCTCTGCGGAGGATCGAACCCATGACTGCTAGTGGCTCTTGCCAACTGGCCCGCAGCAAGAGCCACTAGCAATCATGGGTTCGATCCTCCGCAGAAGACCGAAGGATGCGCACCACTTATGAGCCCCAATAGGGCGAAACGGCCTTCTGGAGCTTTTCCGGATAGCTGGTTGACATATCTGAATTGTCGGCTGATTGCGACGAACAAAAATACTCACCAAAATCCTTCCATTCATAAGTAATACCAATTCGCCCGTACGGATTCCACAAAATGGTATGTCGATTCATAGCTGCCGTAACCGGGAACTCCTGACGCCGGAAGGCCGACCGCTGTCATCTGTATGGCAGGTGCCTGCATGGCAGTGGAGGATGCGTCGGGCTATATCGCATTTAGCTAACAATTCATGATAGTCAGATGCCGTCCTCCATGACGCAGTTGCATAAGCTGCGGGCTAGTTTGCAAGAGCCACTAGTAGTCATGGGTTCGATTCTCCGCAGAGGACCGAAGGATGCGCACCACTGATGAGTCCCAATAGGGCGAACCGGCCGTCTGGTGCTTTTCCGGATAGCTGGTCGACATATCTGAATTGTCGGCTGATTGCGACGAACAAAAATACTCACCAAAATCCTTCCATTCGTACGTAAAGCTAGAGGTTGTCGGGCTCTGCATTAGTCACGACTCAGTCGCCGCAGGAAAGGCGAATAGCCCGCATACTAGCACTACCAACGCATCCAATCATAACAAAACACCATCTGTTTTACATTAAGGATCGGGCTTTTCTTGCGTCACTTTCTTCATCTACACGGGAGCGAAAGTGAGCGTCATCCCTGCGAACCCAAACGACAAGCACTAAATGCCCACATACAACCTGAGTGCGGCCAACGGATCACCGATAACTTCATAATGAACCTGGACCTAAACCTCCGCTTAGGATTACAGTATGTTTTCACGGTTGCCTTGGCACTTCGCAAATTTTCATATCGATTTCTTCCACCATGTTGGACTGCGGTAATGCTTCTCACCACGTGCTTTCAGACGGTCATACTAAATTAAGGGTTGTGCACGTTATTTCAGACGCCCCGATTATCAGCCCTGTTCAGCGAATCGCCGACGCACCTTCAGACTATGCGAGTCTGCTCTCCGAGTACCCGCGACTAATACGCTTAGCTGCAGAGCTTCCACCAGTCACAAGATATGTCACTCATCACATAGTCGTGCATGGCCAACCAACGAGTGTCCGATCCAGATGACTCGCCCCAAATAAGGTGCGTGCCGCACGAGCTGAATACGACCACATGCTTAAGCTCGGTGTCATCAGACCTTTCAACAGTCTATGGGCGTCACTTATCCTTACTGTCCTGCGGGAGGTCATGGGGGACTGGTGAATATTGCGCCTTGAACACGGTTACCACTCCTGATCACTATCAGATCCCACACATCATGGATATCACGACTAGTTTGCCAGGTAAGATCGACTTGATACTCGCATACAGCCGAATTCCGGTAGCAGAGACCGACATCGCGAAACCTGCCGTAACGACTCCGTTTGGGTCACTCGTGTTTCTGCGCATGCCACTTGACCCTAACAATGCCGCACAAAATTTCTTGTACCTTATCAACCAAATTTGTCACATACGTTTATCTCGACGACGTCCCACTCACGAGCTCCCCGCGCGAGAAGCACTTGCGCCACGTGTGGACCCTTTATGACTGTTTATCCCAACACCAGGTGACGATCCACGTGGAAAAGTGTTCTGACGGTACCGATCCGGTCGGTTTCCTTGGCCATCATCTCTCCTGCAGGTCTCATGCCACTGTTTGATAACATTAGGACCATCATCGACTACTCTGGGCCTCATTCGTTTAAATAGCTCAGATACTTTGACACTTCGTCTGCTGTTTCATACATGACTGTGCATCGTTTGTGCCTCCACCTTATGTACCTTCTCGTAGGGAAACGCAAAAGAGTACGCTTTTTCTGTTACAACACGCACTGCATTCCTGAACGTGGACCATTACGGCCAGTTATCTCATCGTTTAATTCTTACCGCAAGCAGATGGTTGATACAAATTTACTATTTGTGATTCCATAGAAACATGTCTTTCTTCTGTAAACTAAAATCAACAGTGCACTTCCATTATTGCATTTTACCAGTGAGATCGGGGGCGCGTGAAAACGGGCCTTTTTGGATGTTTTGCTAAAGCGAAAGCACGGTAACTCCCTAGAGACCGGAAACCTACATGGGTCGACCAATAGGCACCTTTGTAAGTTTTGTACTTTTGTATCACGAACGGAACTTAGTTCGTTGTTTGTATTACTGTGACGCCAGAACTTGTGGGCCGGGGACGCTGAATGTGGAGAATGATCGTATCCTCATTAATTTGGAAGAGAACGGATCCCTTGTTCAGTACATCAGAATGCTCGCAGCGATCCATGTGCACCTGAAAACCGCTATAGTCGTGCCAGAAAGGAGAGGTTGTGCATGATTTACTGCAGAGGCATCTCAGTCGCATTGACCAAGACCTACCCAGCCGTCTACCTGCGCATGTTTGCGCAGACGGTATCGCTTGTTACAAAATTTCTCAAGGATGGAGTCCTCTTTAGTTTCAATCATACATTATATATCGATTTACTTGTACATGGGGTGTAAGGTATCTCTGACACACGACCAGGTGTCTGTTAATACGGGTAACAGAGCACTGTCCATGGTCGCTACGAATAAACGCGGCTAGAAGCATCAACTACACTATCACAAAGTGTCACCTCCTAAGAGGATATAAAGTACAGATGGCGGACGTGTTTAAAATCTACTCCGTGCCACTACGTTATCCCAAAACGCTCGGAAAGAGTTTCTTGGATATGGCTGAAGCAATAATCATCATATTGATCCAAGCCGAATTGTGCAAGTATAGGGCCGTCGTACAAGCCCCTCCGTAATTCCCCGAGGTCGAACAATGTCAGTGCACCGTCAAGTGCGTGGCCTGCTCTGAGTAATTCGATCCAAGTGTCAGGCAATTTTCCCGGCTTAGCTAAACGCTTGCGGCCTGCATGTCTTCAACCCAAGTTTCAGCAACTTAATGTGCCGTCTGCTTGCTACTTCTAATTACAGTGGCCTAATGAGAATCACTGGAACAAGTCTCCCTACAAATTGGACTTCTTATTCTAACGTGGACATAATTCATAAGTGCCCAGTTTACTCGACTTCGGGGTAAAACTTCCTCGCCGCTCACCACAGACATTGAAGGGCTTTAAGGGGCCATACTATCGCCAAACCACTTTTCCACCTACATCGCCTCTTTACCTGCCTCTGTCGAAGTGGTATTACTGAAATATGCAAGCGACATATTCTTGGCTCTGCAACAACCGGCCGCAGCCTCATCAAGTAAATTACAAACCTATCTGGACAGCCTTGTATTATGGTCCAGAGCTCACTTTTTATCGCTGAATGCATCAAAATGCAACAACGTCATTTTCCCCCACATAACGGCCATAGTCATCAACAACTTCTCATGGAATACCTCAAACTTCACATAAATGACGAGAATTTGCACTCTTTAGTGTCAGTGCAGCACCTATGTAACACTCAGTCGTGATGTTTCCTGGTCACTTCGCGTTAAGTGTGTCTTCACAATGGTGAGAATTCTTTCATTTTACGCCCTTCGTTTATGATCTTCCTCTCTATCCCGCCAATTAATTCTGAGATTTATCATCGCATGTGTCTTAGCCCTTTGAACTTATTGCTTCACTGTGATATTTCCTGCTTTTCTAAAGAAGCACTTCAAGGTTCTAGGTAAGTCACTGACGCAATTATCTCGATGTAGTGAAATTCCCCAGCCCACATTTGTTGAGCTTCTTTTGTCCGCTCATGCCAATTCATACATAAAGCTTGCTACGAGAATACTAAGTGGCACAAATCTCCCTGTTTTTGGTGTACTGTCTGAGTGTGTATCAACATCCACAACCAGACATAAGTATAGATGCATTTTTGCCTGCACAAGAGCATAGCACTCATTCGATATTCCATATAGGGCATGCTTTTTTGTGCGACCAGACATCTGTTGTCTTGGAGCTTAAAAACAATATTGCGTCGTAAGCATCTTGTTGTTTATGCCACTTATTACTCTACTTGTATATTCACTGCTTTATTTCCTTTACTATGCTGAGAGCGTGTGGGTAACAGCTGAATATTCACGTTTATGGGTGCATAAAGCAATTTCTTGAATTGAATTGGAACCGCATTGAAATGGAACTAGTTTTTAATGGCCCCATCCATTCCTGTTGCCTAGAAAACGGTTAAACCATTTCAAGATCAAGGTGAAATCAGTTCTTTCCGTGCTCATCGCTGCTTCATAACCATTACACGTATCCGACACTGATGCAATCAAGGTGTAATCACTTTGCATCATCTAGAAGGGCAATTAACCATAGCTAAGCACCCATCAATCATTTATGCATTATTGTTTATTCCATTGGCTAAATCGGTGCTTAAGCTGTTAGCGCTATATCAGGGTCTCTGATGTGAGTTGGCTTCGGCCCCCAAGTTCATCGTTGAAAATCACACCCAGACTACACGTAAAGTGAGCCACATCCGCTTTGAGGTCTCGCTCCTTGTGTGCATACCAAGTCAATCAACGCGTTCCCACGCATCTAACTTAGCAATCTCTCCCTAGCACACCTATTGAAATGTTGAAAACCGTTAGTCTTTGGCTAGTCATCTATCTTGTGTATTTAATAATTACTTCCAGTGAGTTAACGAACGTACCGTAGCCCAATGATTGGTATCAGAGTTGGACAAAATATTTCATGCGTGTGTGATTGAATGCCCTTCGTAAAGTTGCATCGATCCGCCTCCACTAAAAACAGTGAGGAAGACACATGCTTAGTTTTGATAAGGTAAGTAAAAGCGAATGAGGCCACTGTGACTACACGAAAATGCATGCACCTACAAAGGGTATCCAGATGGACGATAATTGCTGTTTCATTTGTCCTAAGTAGCAGAGCATCGTTGACATAAGCTGGGACTTCCGGTATGTTTCATCCTGCACATTTTACCTGCTCCACAGTGGTGATCGGACTTGTGTAGGGAACTGGTGACTTATTGATCTTCCTAGAGACAGTGTACTTTTCCCTATTGCACGGTACGATGATGTGCCGTTTGTTGTGTAAATGAAGTCTGTTGCGGAGAGCCAGCAAACACAACCAAACGTGTGAGACCAACGCGAGGCGCAAGTCCTGTACTACTGATGGTACACTGAATACATGCTGTGTACTGTTGGCATTTGGTTGCTCCAGGCAATATTATCAATGACCCTCTACGGTGGCACGTAACTGTACCCAAGGGAACTTCGCGCCTTGCTCTGAAGATTCTGAAATTTGAAACAAGGAGTTCCCTTTATAAATCTAACCAGAAATAGCAGAAGACGTAAGCTGTGAGATGACACAGTCAATTCGTACGTTCTCCTCAGTCACGTACAAGGCAACTAACAATTTGAAAACAAGCAAGATCGGACGCAGTCGATTGGTGGTCAGCTGATGGCGAACTATTACGACGGCACTACCACGGTAGGCTCAATGTTACTGTAGACTGCCTCTTTGCGCAAAGTGGCGGTCCCTCATTGTAATCTGTGAGGCTGAGCACGATCACCGCCTCCCATATCTCAACGTTTTGCTCATACGAAGGCCGGATGGTTCCATCAAGCGGTCAGTCTACCGGAAAACAACTTGGACGGGCTAATATCTACATTTTAAAAGCTTCTCACCAATACAACATAAACGATTTCTGGTCCGGAAATTGTTCCATCGATCTAACCTAATTTGTACGCCTGACACACTTGAAGCAGAAGGTGATCTCCTAATTGGAGGATCAAGTTTAGACTACACGTCGTGTGATCGTTGTGCGATTCACCTTGAAGTGAACCTTAGTCACTGCGACCACTGGGACCGTAGTCAAAACAGATGGAAACTGGGTGTTGCCCGCCCGAAAACACTGCACAGCCACGACGCATTTCGACGTCGTTTCCTCTCACAACGTGTAGTCCAAACTTGACCCTCCAATTAGTCATTTACCGTTGTGCCAAGCGTTGCCTGCCGTGACCCCGGTAGCCAGTGGGGTAGAGGTTTTCGCTACTATCCCGGTGGTTGCGGGTTCGAGGCCTGCTATCTCCACCTGATGAGATAAAATTACATCGAAACGCGTCGTGGTTGTACAGTGTTTTCGGGCGGGCAACACCCAGTTTCTAAGGTGATTTTCTTTTCGACACGTTGCAATCCAATGGTCACCCTTTACATTTCCTAAACGAGTCTGTGACACTACGAAGCAAGAACCATTGACGACCGTCTAGAAGAAGTGGGTTTTTATTGAGCTGCCGTTCAAATGTGACCACATCATAAAAGTCACCACAAAGCGGTTAAGTACCTCTTTGAAAATGCGTATAGTTCGGCAGAGTTGCGGTTGCTCACATCGACAAGATCATTGCTTATGTGCTTATTGAAGACACCGACGGCGAAACAGTGCATGTCCCACTGTCTACACAAATCTACCTGTAGCTGCGAGAACAGCTATGTTGGGCGCACTGACCGAAGTCTAAGCGTCTGGATCGATGAGCACATTTCTAAGTGGTTGATCAAGCGAATGAGACCTCAGACGATGGAACCGGGTGAATCCAGAGGCAGGATAGCTTGGCAATCACGAGGCATCTACTGAACACTGACCACCAGGTTAACCCAAATGACTCATTCACTGTCCTCATGCGTAACCAAAGACCACATATACTCAAGCTACTTGAAGCCACTGTAATCGATCGCGAGCGGCCGCCTCTGTGCCTAATCAGTTGACAGTAACATTGAGCCTGCCGTGGTAGTGCCGCCGCAATAGTTCGCCATCAGCTGACCACCAATCGTCCGCATCCAAACTTGCTGGTTTTCAAATTTTTAGTTACCTTGCACGTGACTGAGGAGAACGCACGAAATGACTGTATCATCTCACAGCTTACGTCTTCTGATATTTCTGTTTAGATTCCGAAATTGTAGATAATGGTTGTGCACGATTAACCGGGATCGGGGTACATCGTGTAGTCTCTTCAGGTGCTTGCATGTGACTAGTAGAACGATTGATACACAAAGCAAATAGTACATCTTCTAAACACACATCACTACTGTTGGAATTCTGATGACCAGCAATCGTCCAACGCCAATCAAGAGCATGCTTGGATAACGTTGTTACCAAAATCAACACAAGGTGCGATTGTTAACAATTTAGAGTTGCCTGTATATAAGCCTGGTATCTGAGTGACGAACTTGTCGTCACTCTAATACACAGGGAGCCTTTTGAGTGTCGATAAAGCTGTGGGGTTTGTGCATGCTTTGGTTAGACAAAAACAACCAAATGGTTGTTCTGGTCTAGAGTGCAGTGAGTGGCAAAAATAATCCTATGAATAAATTTGGTCTAGTATAAAATGCCGTTACTTTAGAACTTACTGTAACGGATTTCTCGTTCTGTGTCCTGATCCGGATGTTCGGTTATACGTATAACTGCGCAATTCATCATCTTTTCGATGGGCTCTGTTAGTTGTATCGTGACGCGTTGTTTTTATGGCTGCTACTGATCACGTTTTTATACCCGTTAATACATACCAGCATTATTGTGCGATCGATTAACCTGTTTTTGATATTTTTGTAAGGCTGTGCCTTTTTGTACCATTGGAATCTTATATCAGGTTTAACTAACTGAACGTAATATTTTCCGAGGATTCTCGGTTTCTCCATGTTCGTCATGGAGTTAATAGACACTTTTATTGTGGCCAGCATAGCTTCGGGAGTGTACTAGAAAAAGTTATTTACTGTGGCAGGTGCCTTCTATGATAACGCAATGTTCGTTCACGTTTGGACGAGGAGTTGATTGATGTACCTTCACTTTGGGCTAAATTGCAGTGGATTTGTTTTCTTTGTGTGTGCTTAGTGTACACCTGCTCATGTTTGTTGGGTGGGGAACTTCTGATTCATCATCGTCCTGTCACTGATGTGCAAACTATCGCTGACGAGAACCACCTGCGTAGATTCGACATGGCAGAGAAGATTATCCGGGAATAAAGATCTATCATTGATGCACTGCGAGCAAAAGTTGATGATTTACATTCATATTCATGCAGTATGTGTGTAATTCTGAAATTGCTATGAGCAGGCAAAGAAATGTGCGCTTTACAACCGGGAAGAACCGTGAATACCGGAGGTCAGGGATAGGCGTGATTTGTATGGGAGACGTGTTCATGATATCCTCCCTATTTTGGTGTATCGGTGCTCGTTGACATCAAACGAATCCATCGAGTTGAAAGTTGAAAGAATGTAAGCGCTTAGCATCAGGCCTCCTAAAACCGATTTTTGTGTAGTTTGCGAACCCGATGTATCGCGATCTTCTTCTTAACAGAGTGGGCCTATTAGCTAGTCAAATGGTCGAAATCAGGTGGCTCCAGATACGCTCACACTGAGACAAAACCACCTCATTAGTACTGTTGAACAAAATGCATCGGATCTGTTGTGCCGATGAGCAGACTTAAATCAGAAACATCTTGTTGCGGACTTCAGTATGGAAAATAGGTTAAATGGAGCTCGTGGGGTTCACTCTCCCCAGGCGGATGTTCTTACCTGCTTCTATTTCACCCTTCTACAGAACACGACCACAGTACTGCTGGATCTTCGGGACCCTACTAGAAAAGTAGATCCTTCGCAAAATTTCAATGATATATCAATGAGGAACATGGCTCCGAATTTTCTGCCGACGAGAATTTCGGTTGTGTGTGACTCATCGAGCACGACTACCGCCGCCATTTCAGGGGCAACAGAAATGAGATCACCAGATACGGGGCTTAAAGAATCTCTCTCCGACGACATTCCCAGGGGTATACAGTCATCGTAGTTAAGTACAGCTACAAGGTTTAGGGTTGATGAGGTCAAGATTACGCACTCGAGAATGAGAAACAGGTTGAGACCCCAGTTACCAAAACAGCCAGAGTAGGCGATGTAAATGCCAACTTCTGCTGCAGCTGTGTACAATCTCTGTGGGCCGGTTCCGTTGTAGAAACGTGGGTCCCATCCACATGCCTCACGGTCATATTCCTTTCGGTTTACACGGGAGATAGGATGTGAATGAATGAGGCTGTGGGTCATGCAGCACAAGCCACCCATGGTCAGCCTTTAGCCGCAGGCCTTCTGTGTCTGTCCTATGGAGGCCACAGCGACAGGCCGGCCAATCCTGAATCGGTTGCCGCCAACCATATACCCATCAACGTTTTTGTGCTTATCATGTCCACACGACGTGGTCCATAAAACAGCTACATGAGCATTAGATGATCGAAAGCATCTAAATCTAACACAGTGTCTTTCAAGAAGTTACTCTAATTCGGCGTGAATTTTGATCTAAATCAAGTCCAGCTAGTTGGTCTACAGATGGCTGGAAAACACATGACAACCTTTTCCCCTTTTCGGGATTCGTCGTGTGTACAAGCTTGCCGTTTTTCTAGAGGTTGCAAGCCAACCTGTGATCATCTATCACTGGCCTAACAGTTGTTGGCTGGAAGCTACTCTGTCAGTCTGACTGCTGGCGCCCGTCCGCAGCTTGAAGTTATGACGGAGTCTCACGAGGCCAGATTCTGCGACTGGCCTTACTCCATGTCCAACGAATATGCATTACTGCTCTTGTTCGTAGTGATGTGAATTTGCCAATTATCTATGCAGACACTTTGTAGCGTTAGTGCTGCATTCACTATCTATTCCAAAAGAATCATCGTTATTTGCTACGTGTCTAATATCACATATGTGATTTGGCTGGGCAATCTGGCAACTGCATGACCACAGCAACCATTGGGTAGAGTGTGGCCTGCTGTGCACGTTGCCACCGAATCACCGGAAGGATGTTGGAAAAGTTACTGTAAACCTGAAATGGGCTAGTGTGCTAAAACGACACTGCAGTGTTTTAACCGGACCAGCTCGAAGTCTGACTAGACAATCATTCTGTACATAAAACTTAAGTCGCCTGGCTTCTCTCCTATTCTTGTCCACATCGCAATCGCCTGCTTATCGGAGTAGCTTGAGTATATTGTCAGAAGGTTTCGCGAACGATTGTATGTTCGGATGACATCTCTCCGTAGTTGAATTACCTAGACATTTGGTGAACTAGACTGCCAGTGAGTAACCGCGTTAATCGTTTTATGGGTGATGAAATGTGTTATCACCGTGCATACATATGTACATTTAGTTCCGAGACTCACTCTGCATAATCTCTTCGTTTGTTTGCAGATAAACTTCGTCATCTGTTGTGGAAGAGAATACAAGTTGATCACAGAAGTACCAAAAATGTAGTCACACATCGTGTCAACCGCAGGCGGTGATATTAAATGGATACATAAATGCGTATATTACCCGACGGGTGGGTTGCGTTCCTATTTGTGGAACAAACATTTACACGACATGGCATTTATGAACTTACCTTCGTTAGGGATCAAGAATGCAATAGTTTGTAGAACGTGTCATAAGTAACAGGTTAATGGAAAACTAGTTTTGTCATAATCTTCTCGGACTGGATTCTATGAATGCACTCGTAGACTGCTGAAGATCGAAAATTTTGACCAAGTTTAGCATGGACGGAAAAGTTTTCAAATGATGTCTAAGTATCGACATTCTCTCGTTGGTCCTTAGTTGCAACTATAGTTCATTCCACAGAGTGGCGTACCTCACCAAGAAGAAAGTAAAGCGAATATTTTACCTGGTCTTGTAGAATAATAGTAGACACCTCCCACTACGAGTAGGCTAGGTTGAGCCGTTTTGTAAAACGCCTGGTTGAGAACACTCGCAAATATAGTATACTGTAGCAAAGAGTGCGGTTGCTTTTCAGTCGTTGAAGCCAGAGTGGATGGTTGGAGGTAAGAACATCGTTCCTCTTAGGTAGGCGTTGATGAGCGCCCCATGATCATTTTAGTAGATGAGCGCTGGACGTTTTCCAAAGCAATTATCTTTGTCTTACGTAGGTGTCTATGTATGGCGATGTAGTACTCTGGCGTAGGTCACTTTGAATGAATCCAGTCGTGTTTGGGATAATGAAAATGACCTAGTGATGTAGCTTTTTGTTGTTCTGCTTTCGCTACTTGATGTAAGATGTGTTCGGAGAAGCTGGAGCTACTAGAGTATCGAATTCCCACGTCCCAGAAGGAGTACGCGGTTGAGATGGGGTTACCATTAACGGTGATGGTATAGTGCATCTATGGCAGCATATCTGATATTTGTCTGCTGAAAACCTTCACTCCGTTCGTCTAAGGATGATAGATCTTCGTGTATGTTTTTAGGCATAGCTCCAAGGGCTCAGGTGGAAATGAGTACACTATTTTGATGTCCCCCACAAATAGAAGTGAACACCCGTGTCCAAATGAGGAAAAGTAATGAATCAAATGCACTCCCCTGAACGACAGCGCTAGTGACAATTGAGGGAGCAGAACAGTGTTCTGCTCTTTGTGTTCCATCGTTCAGATATGCGTCGAACCAGATCAATAGCGGGTTGCCGACTCCATAGAACTCAACCCCGGCCAACGGTGGTTTGTGCTGTACGCAATCGAAGGCTTTTTACATATCCAGAAGGATGAGGATGATGGCCATGTCACCATCAAGCGTTGCTGTAGCATGATCAAGGAATTGTAATCGATATGGGACACAATATGATATTTTAATGAACTCGTTATGTCAGCTAGTGAGATGGTCTTGCCAAAAGCTGAGTGACGCAATTCTTATTGATTCTTTCCAAGACTTTAGCGGCGGCCGAAGTATGGTTTATCGGCCGGTAATCTGACATCCGATCTCGTGGACCGCCTGTTTCGACATGACTAGGATATTTTTCTTCGAAGCAGGAAGCAGCCAGTGTTTAATGATAGGGTAAAATGTTAAGCTTGAACAATGGTACCTTTTCGACGCTTAGTTTTCTAACTGCAAGGGGAATACCATCAAGTCACGGTTGCGGAGTCGACTTGATGGATGTGATAGTCATCTATATGTCCTTTGGACTCAGAGGGATGTTACTGACTACCACTTCGGATTTTCTGGGGACTAGAGGACAAGATACATATGATGCAGTAATGAACGAGCGGCAACATCGAAATTCAGTGCTTCACATATTTATGCTGTCAGCCTTGACCGCAGCGTATTTCAAAAGCTGGTTTGGAGTCTCTTAGTGTTGTTACGAATTTCTTCTTCTGAGTAACTGCATCAAAGCACTGGCCTTCTCTAAATTTTTGATGGCTCGGTTTTTTAGGCAATTCTAGACTACTGTGTTTGGTGCTCAAGTTCCAGGAAGGTTTCGTGTGTTTGAATTGATGCGACATGTCACGTGTTGCTTATTGATCAATGACTGACGCTGGTTCAAAATGTATTGATTTACACTATGAATGCAATAAATCGGGAAATGCTGTAGAAACTGAGGCTACCGTTTGGAGAAATTATGCGTTTGAGAGTGTATCTCCCCCATCGATTTCTCTATGTCTGTCATAAGATGCCACACTATTTGAATTCGAATGTTACCTTCTGTAGGTCGGATAGGTAGGTGGCAGGATCTTTTGTGGATAGTTGATTGGTTTGCTATTAATTGCCCCAGACTCGGTCCCAATATCATATGAGGAGATGCGACAGCATACCATTTTCCTAAGTCGATTTAATGAGTGTTTCTCATAAACTGATGGTTGTATAGGCGTTATCGGATGTTTGACATTTCCATGGAGTATTGTTGGGATGCGGTGCTCTGCAAAGTCATCTATTCCTAGTTGAGACATGGGATTGTTCCTGTGGTATTCAGTAAGTGGTAGTTCATTCTGATTTCCAATATTTTTTAGGTTCATAACGCAGTTATGTTCTTAATTGGTGCCATATTTATAGCTTTAATTACGTTGTGTGTGTGCCCAATATCTTTGGTCCTGACCGCGTCGGCATTATCTTTCAATCATACCTTCTGTGTGGATGTGGGGCGGTGCCAGCGCTTTGTCAAGATCCACATCACTGTAGATACAATTGGTGTAAGTGTGTGAAGTATGCGTTTCTGAATGATTTACGTACAAACCGGCTTTTGTTGGGGCTTTTGGTCATTTCTGATCAAAATGTTCTTAAAGTCGGTTCGTGCAGCAATGAGTCCTTCTTTATGTACAAAATCTCCAGCCATTGCCTTAACTGGGAATTTAAGGAGAACGGAGCATGATCTCATTGTCCTCATCCTATGGAGCCTGAGACGTCGACAGTTTGAGCAACTCCTACTGCACGCCGTGAGCGAAAGCATTTTTGTTTTTATGTACTCAATCTCTCGGGTGTGTTGAATGTAATCGCATTCTTTGAAGTGCCTAAACTTTCTGGAGTCTCAGTTGTAATAAAGGATAAAACAGGGCCAGCCGTGTGAAGTGTATTTAATTTCACGTTCTCTAAAGGTTCAGCTGAGCTTATAATACAAGAAGGAAAGGACGGTCCTATTTTGCTCCAAAGCGCGGCATTTCTGTTTTCATTGAGCTGCGTAATTCGTCAAAAGTAATGACCTGGTTCTGCATTTCAGCCACAGTATCAATCCTATCGTCAGGGGGAAAAGCCACTTTTATTTTTTCGTTGTCTTAGTTGAGGCCCTTTTCTTTTTCGAGGCCTCATTGCAGAATACTACTGTTTCCTATTTTCCTTTATCTTAGCCATGTCATTACGCGTGTTAGTAGAGCTAGAAGGCTTTCATGGCGTAGTACAAACGGTTAAACCCATTGCAAGTCAAGTGATTAGCATCCAAATTGGTAATCAGTCTAGAATTGAACACTCAGAAAGCAGCATAGGGTTTGTTTTATGTTTGTCAAATTAGAAGAAATGCGGCATTAAACAACCGTACCGATCTTCGCAATTTCTGTGTACCGGTAGTCGTTACTACCTGTTGAATGGGATGGTTAGAGGTCAATGTGTCGCCAAGTCGCGTTCAGTCTGGGCGGGTAACTCGGTCTGGTCGATGGAGAGGATGCGCCTGATACCGCTTGTTTGTGGAGAACTTTCATACACTAGTCGAGGCACGTGCGAGTGGTCATGGGATTGGCACCGCGTCGCAACTCAGGTGTTTGTTGATCGATCAATGTGGAAAGACAGCATGCGTCATTTCAAAATTGGGAACATGGTGTACGCACGAGACTTCCGAGGACCGAGGATGTGGTGGACAACCCTTCCATCTTTCCATCCCGTCTCTCCGCTTCGCTACATCCGATTCTGGCCGGCCATGAGTCATTCGAAAGCGTGCGAGTTGCTCTCCCCCAGCTGCATCACTCGACCCGCGTTCACTCATGTGGGCTTCACTAGCGGCGTATTTGTTTGATTCATTGCGTTCTCCACAAATACCTCCACCATTGTTCTGGGCCCAGGTTCGTTACCACCTGTCGCCCGTGATCTGCTGTCAGCTCGATCCGCAACGCTCGCAGAATCTTGTCTCGTCTCATCCATTGCGCGCGTTGTTGACGCTCTACAATCCCGTTTTTGTTGTAGTTCCGGTTCACGAGTAGTCACTGGTTTCCGCCGCCCTACAACCGTCTATTCCCGACGTTGTTCTTCCCTCACGTACCATGGTCGCAGGATGGCGGCGTTCACCCAGCACTTCGTTTCTCCGCTGTCAATTTGGAAGTGTGCTTTTTTCGATCGAGTACGGTGTAGGGGCCTTTCCAGCGTTCCATGAATTTGCGCACACCTGGCCCTTCATTATCTGGCCGAGCGTTGTTCTGTACCATGACTCGTTCTCCAATCCTGAACGGCCTCTAGCTGTGAGCTTCATGCTTGGCGTCGTAGTTCCTCTTATTGCGTGCTTCTCAGGCTTTGGTTCATTTTCTAATAATCATTTACAGTCGTGCGTAATGCCGTGCCGGATGTTCCCCTCACCCGGTTTTGCTAAGCAGGTATTATTAGGAGGACAGCTCTTAGACATTCTTTTATTGTGAACGAGCTTGATAGCCAATATTTACTCTTCCTATTTTCTATTCCTTGACTCTTGTTTAACCGCTCTACTTGGTTAGCCCGATTGGTACACCCACGTCATTGTTAATGGATGCTCATCGTCATGTCCTTTTCACCAGCGTCATTTGTAAGAGCCTGTTCCATTAGTTTTTTCTTTTCATCACTGTTCTACTTGGTTATGTTAGAGGAATATTTAGTTGTCACATGCTTATTGTACTAGTTTTCAACTTTTGGGTCTGCATTCATTATTCTCGTTTGTTTCGTGACCTTTGTTTAAACGTTGCATTTCGTCATTCTGATTGGCCAGTGTCCCGTACTGTAA